CCTGCTGGAACTGTTCTGTTTTGCACAACTGACTTTTCTCTACAGAGGGAGCAGGGACTTGCACCATTCCCTTTGCATCTCAGATCACAACTGACTTTTCTCTACAGAGGGAGGAGGGACTTGCACCATTCCCTTTGCGTCTCGGATGCTCTGAAAGCCATTAAGTGTTTAGGCTGGTAACCAAGGTAATCCATCTGTCAACACAAAGTGTGAAGTAATTCAAAAATTTCCTGAGGATGCAAAAGGAACTTTTCTTTTGCAGTATAAGAATGAGAAGTTGCTTTGGAAAATGTCTCTAGGAAATCCTTCTATGTATTTTGTTGGTAACTGCACTGTAGCAATTCTGGCACTCACTGTGGTCACCTAATGGGGGTGTCTTACCCTTGAAAAGAGTAGTGTTTTACATAAACAGATTTACACAGCTTCCAGTGCAATTAAATTCCCCCTTACAGCACTGAAACCTGTGGTATTTCTGTGGTATTTCTGCTTCTGCCACAGATGAATGTCAGCAAATGACATTTCTGGTTGCTGTCTTTTTTAAGATCCATTTGCTGCTGGTGCTAATATTGTGCATCTAACCCTGATTTTCCGTCCCTCCCTCCCTCCCCTCTTGCCACTTGCTCTTTTTTTTTCTTCTTTGTCTTATCCTGAGGCCTCCAGCCTGCCCACCCCACTCCCTTGCTCTGTAACAGGAGACCCTCAGCTGCTTTGGTGGGTGACAGAAAGGACATTCTGAATGTCACCTCCTCAGCCAGGAGGAGTCTGAGTAATGGTGCCACTTAGAAACTCGTTCAGGAGAAGCTGATCCTCAAATACCATGTTGCTGGTTTACCTGTCTCCTTTGCCCTGTTAGCTGGTTCTCTCTCTCTCTTAGTTGGCCGCCCCTGGGTGTCACTCACTGTCGCTTTGTTGAAAGTCACTAAGATGTCATCCTTGTAAAGCAGTCTGTGTAACCACTAGCCATAAAAACAAAGAAACAACAAAAACCCCACCCAGTCCTGTGTAGCTGAAACACAACATGGACTTCTCCGTCCATACAATGTCCTTGACTGTAGTGGGGCCAAGTACTGTAGAAATTCAGTGTCCGAAAGGAGAACTAGAATTAGAAAATACAAAAGTCACCAGAATAGAGAACAGCTGCCTGCAAACATTGAGTCAGTGCTCAATACTGACTCAGTCAGTGCTCACTGGTGGCCACAAAAGGCAAATAGAATATTAGGAATTACTAGGAAATAACGAAGAACAAAATACATATTATTTTACAAGGGTAACAAATCACCTGCTACCTGCAGTTCTACCCTGTACAACTAGAAAGAATATGAAGAAAAGTGGGAAGGGTCATAGGAACCTTGTAGGGAGAGGTTGTCCAGGTTAGGACGTTTCACTCTGGGGAGGCATCGGCCAAAAGGGAAGATGATATACTTACATAAAATTATGAATACTTTGGAAAATTAGAAATCAGATTTTCACTGGTCAATATACACTTATGCAAAAACTACTACTGGACTTTTGCTCTGGACTGGCTTGACTGCCCATACTTTCTCAAATTTATGAGACAATGTCTCTGCATGCTACTGTCCTGCTCTGATTTTCCCACAGTGGAGCAAGCCTTATAGAGATACTGTCTTCAGCTGGACAAAGATGGACAAAGTGTCACACACAGCTGCTGTTTTGTATCCTCTCAAATGAGCTGGTGGTAAGTTTTATAAAGTAGTCAGCAGAGCAAATTATTTTGGAGTAAAATTCTCCGAAGCTGTGAGGAAATGGGGGGAGGGAAGAAAGAAGGTAAAACAAAAGCCTGTCGTTTAAGAAAACCCTGCTATAGTCAGCAATTCTTTGAAGCAGTGGAGGAGCATAATTATTGTAGCAAAACCGTTTTGCCTGTGCCAGACATCTGCAGAGCCAGATTTGGCACCATGGGAAGGCATACAGGAACAGTGGGTAGTGCTAAATAGCTGCTCCCAGATACAATGGTCACGGTTCTTGCTTGTCTATCCTACCAGCTGCGGGCTGCATGCCCAGCAGCTAATTCCTCTGACAATAACTAACATGCAGCAGAGACAGAAGTCTCTAAATTGCTCAATATCCAGTCATATGTGGTACTTATAAATGAGAGATGCATGTACAGGCAAAGCTGCTTGTGACCACATCTGTCACATCTGTAACAGTGTTTAGAGAGAGCTGATAATATAACAAGTGTTGATGTGTGCATAAACATTGAACAGGTGTATATAAATATTACCTCATGGAATTTTCACTGTGCTTTATGAGGGTCTGGAAATTGGTCACCCAGCAGGCTGATCAGGTTGGAGCAGGGCAGAGCAACCAGCAGTTAGTACCCAGCACAGGTAGGACTGACTTCATTTTACTTTAGTTCAGGTGTCTACATCACACGTGTCAAGAGTAGCATCTAGGTTTGCTGTAGTCAGACTGAGCTTGACGCTCAAAAGCAGGTAACTCTTGTATTGCCCCGTACGTACCCTCTGCCAAGTGAGGACCTCCTTCAAGACTGGATGCAGTGCTAGGTGGGACAGTGTGTCCTGCAGTCTCTTGACACCCTGAACATTCAGACAGCATTCCCAATCTTCCTTTCAGGAGCCACTGTCTGTAGTTTTCTGAGTTCTGTTTTGAAGTCCTCCTACATGTCTTCTCATCTACCAGCGATGATCTTCTCCTGGAATTACTTTCACTCCGTATGTGAATGGGAGTCAGTTTCCCTACCTCCCTTGACTCCATGTCCACAGTCACTTGGATTCACATTATCTTCACTGGACCCCCAAAGCTGATTCCTGTGTCCCATCAACCAGGGATAGTGTCCTCTGCCCGTTCATGTTAACAGCTTTCCAGACCTCTTCCTCTAGAGCAGCCCTCTGTGCCAAGATACTGCAGGTGGAAACACCCAGACCTTCCCAGTTCTTGTTTAAATCTTGCATCATTTCTCTGTAGGCAAGGCAGCTTTCCCTCGTTATGTGGTGACCTCAGACATAGCATCGCTGCAGTGGTAGAATCCCAACGTCTGTGGCCTCAGAGCGAGGGCGATTGATGGGCAGAAGGTTCCCTCCTTGTTGACTCTGGGGCAGGGAACCCACTCCTTACCTTTTCAGTGGAACAGCTTTATAACGACCATTTATGACGACTCTGGCAGCTTCCCCATAGCAGAATGAATCACCAGGTTCCTTGACTCAAAATGGTTGTTATAAGGCTATTCTACTGAAGAGATAAGGAGTGGGTTTTCTATCCTCAGAATCAACAAGGAGGGAACCCTCTGCCAATCCGTCCTGCTCGCTCTGAGGCTGCAGACGTTGGAGTCTGCCGCTGCAGCACACTATGTTGGTGGTTACCCCATAACAAGGGAAAGCAATCTTGCCTACAGGCAACCCTCCCTCGGTAGGGTCGAGGGTATTGCCATTGATTCCCCACGCAGGGGAGGACCCCAGGAGTGAGTTCTGGGACTCTAGGCTGGGGCCAACACACCCCAAACATGGGTGTTGCAGTGCCAGAAATCTCCTTGGAACGGGCTCTACATGCAGAAAGCATTGACCAATGCTCTTGCAACTGTCTTGCATCCCACTCATCGTTTTTCTCATCTTGTCCGTGTGTTTTTCGCTGAAGTCTTTTATGACCAATATGCCAATGTCCAGGAGAGAAATGTGTTTTAATCCAACAGGATTTAAAGTGATTCATGTAACAATATGAAACTTTCTTCTTTTCTAGAACTCTTATCTGTCACACCAAAACTACCAGCAAATTCCCCCTTTCCTGCATTGTCAGTATTGTACAGGCATGCCTGCCACTTCTAATGCACTGGTGTAGGTAGTACCATGTTTCTATATTTTGAATTGTGTGAATCTGCAAGTTTACAAGGTATTTGTGGTGAGATGGCAGTGGGGAACTGAGGAGGTATCAGATGCATCTAGGCTGAATATTTTGTGTGCATGTTCCTAATTTTGTGTACAAATATGGCTGGCTGGAGGGATTCTTTTGGCAGTTTTAGGTAGAAACATGCAAGGGCCCTTCCTAGAACAGAACAATCTTTCCTGGGGTTATAGGCATGGAAACACCTGGATGAAATCAAATCTTGTCAGCAAAGAAAAAAAAAAAGGATATATAGTATGTGAAGTATATAAAGAGAGGCAACGTGCACGTGTGTATGTGTGTGCGTGCCTGCACTTCTCATACCTGAGGTTGCTTTACATCTCTTGGAGGATCCAGCTTAAAAATTCAGTTAGACCCCAGCCTCCTGGTACTTTGGCTCTTGGCTGACTGTCTTGCTGTTTCTGTGATGTTTGTGAGCTGCTATACAGCTTTACACTTGTGCTTTCATCACCTTACCATCAAAACTGCCGAAAGTTTTTAATAAGGTTACTTTATCTTTTAATGAACTGTTTTATCTTTTTAACCGCTGGGATAATTGCAGCTCAGACATACCAAGCAATCCATCCTGGATCATACAGTGAGTCGGTGGGAAAGCCAGCAATAGAATCCATAAGTCCTGAATCCAAGTTCTCTAAGTGCCTTGACTAGTCCAGATTCCCCCCTTAACACCCTTGTCAAATTGTTTATAGGAGATGTATTCATACAGTCTGTAAGACATCAAAATTTTCTAATTATATCTAGTCATGTCAAATGACAATTATGCCCTTAGTTCAGTTTGCCAGACAATGCTTTACCAAAGAAGGTTTGCCAAAAATGTTTTGACCGAAGAAAGAGTAGGCATCTGCAGCATCTGCAGGCTAGATCCTATAAAATGTCCCTGTGACAAGTCTGCCCTGTCTCTGCGGAAAGCTTCAAGGTAAGTGTACGTATGGGGTCTGCAGGATTGCAGAAAGAGGATGGTGCCCACTGTATTCCTTCAACTTCCAGTACAGGAGGGGACTCTATTTCTCAATTCAGGCTTTAAATTTGCTTTTAAGGCACCTGTGTATTTTCCCTCTGGACCTCTGTACAGTAATAAATTCTGATTTGCTATCTCTATTACACAGTACTGATCAGCTGTCAGCGTGCAAGTTGCCTACCTGGTATCACAAGAGGTAAGGAGCTGATTTATTAAATCTGAGAGGACACAGAGAGACACTGATTTCTGCATGGCTGAGTGAGCAGTTACGGTTTCACTCTATATTCAAACCCAATATGATTACAGTAGATTAATGCTAGCACGGCTTTACTAGCTTGGCTAGTAAAGTGGCTGGGTTTGAAGCCTCTGGCCACTGATGGCACAGAAAGAATCCTCATGGGGGTATTCCTTTTTTCCTTACCTGTTATAGCAGAGATATGCTGACTTTCCATCTTCGATATGGCAACACTAGAACTGGACAGAAATTGACAAAGGATGCAAAAGTGCAGAATTGTACATTTTGTCTGATCAAATATGAATTAATAAATTATTTGAGCATATGGACCTATTAATCATCTGGAAGATGCCAAAATTCTCTTTGATATTCGTTTCATTACTCCAGACAAAAAGATTTATTAACTGATGAACAGAGGGAATCTTTATTTAACTAATATAGCTAGAGAATTTTCAAGCTTAGTGGGCTGAACTTAGATACTTACATATTTATTAAAGACTTTAAAAAATACCTGATTTTATTAAAGTTCTGAGAATGTATCTATTCTTAGATTTTTTAAAAAAGTCAATGTTTCAAGTGTTTATTGAGGAGCTTAATGCAGTCTTGAAATTTCCGTTTCTGTGCTTCAACTCAATTTCAGCAGCAGTTGAAACTTTGAGCTTGAAATTATTTTGTTTCTGTGCTTCAACTCAATTTCAGCAGAAGCAACCATCCAACTTTGAGCTTGAAATTATTTTAGTTACTGAAGAATGACAAATGTGTAAGCAAATTAAGTTATGGCTATTAAAAAGTAGTAAAAAATTCCCTTTCATACCTGCTTCAAATTTCATTAGCATAATTCATTCATTTTCCAGTCACTGCTGTAGATAATAAACAAATGTCTGACATGTTAAATGTTTTCAAGAGTTTGTAGTCTCCTGAACTGCAATTTTTCAGGAAAATTTCTGTTTAGTTCTTCCTTTTAACAAAATGTTCCATCTGCATTTACATTTCTACTGATCATGTGAAATGAGTTCAGCCACTTCACTCTCAACTTACAAACACAGTATTCCTAAAAGAGCCAAACTGGAAGTTGTGAAAGGTCATTAATAAGTTATCACCTGTAAGTCTGAAGACATAGATCACTTCAGCACAAAATTCTTGTCTTCTAAATTGACCTAGCAATTATATTCTCCAGTTAGCTCATGTTAGATATTCCAAATATGAAACTCAGAGCAAGAACAGAAACCCCTGTACAGGATATAAAAATTTTCCAAATCTTACAGAATAGAATGAAATAATCAATGCTATGTTGTTGTTCTCCATTAGACCCTTCTGCTAACGTACCTTCGGTAAAGCGCAGCCATGGCCTCTTCAGACGCTGAGATGGCCGTCTTTGGGGAGGCAGCTCCCTACCTCCGGAAGTCAGAAAAGGAGAGAATCGAGGCCCAGAACAAGCCTTTTGATGCCAAGTCATCAGTCTTTGTGGCTCATCCTAAGGAATCCTTTGTGAAAGGGTTAATCCAGAGCAGGGATGGAGGGAAGGTCACTGTCAAGACTGAAGCAGGAGAGGTGAGTGAAAAGGAAGCTTCAGAGCAGCATTTACTTCTCACTCCGAGCTCTTAGCTGACATGCTTGGATCTCTCATTTCCTTGGCAGACTCTGACCGTGAAGGAAGACCAAGTCTTCTCCATGAACCCTCCCAAGTACGACAAAATCGAGGACATGGCCATGATGACCCACCTCCACGAACCCACTGCGACTTATAACCTCAAAGAGCGTTATGCAGCCTGGATGATCTACGTAAGTAGCAGCCACAGGCTTCCCGCAACCCGCGAGGGAGAGCAC